AATTATATACATAACAAGTACCAAAATGACGTCTGGGGTCTTGAAACCTTCTACGGATCTACACCGCCTAATCTTTGCTTTTGTCCTTTATCGTCCTTCCWGAAAATATTTATTCTAACGGAATAAGCGACGAAGCTTAGTGAGCTTATATCGAAGTGTAAAAAAAATATGATGTAAAATACATATATTAACCGAGACAAAACAGAAATAACCGTTTAACTACAACCCATAYAGTTAACATACATTGCAATACGATTCACACAAACCATGTGGCATCAATTTAAGTATACCAAACATATCAAAATAGAAGTAACACTATCAGAAATCGAGTAAACATGTGCACCACACCCCCTCTTCGTCTACAGGGCCCGTGCAAAGTACTCACACCCGGCTCCTTACCAATCGGGATACGTGAGTACGACAACCGGTATGCCACACCCAACCTCCATCTCCTTGGGATAYGTGGACATACACCATGCTACGGCATATCACCGGAAGTAATATCCGTAAATCATGGTTTACCAAGAGGCCAAAGAAATACTCAAATCCGGGCTCGATCGATAATGCATAATAAACAAGATTACCAATACAAGGGCATGAGGCTCAATATATTCAATAACACATGCAAAATCAACTATCATACAGTAAGAAAGTATTTATATATACTACACATAAGTATACATTCGATATAAACTCACAGTGCTTCAATGTGATCAACCGAACGCGGTAATATCAAATTCCGACCAACAATAGAATTTGACCTTCACAATCTCCAAATAGCCTTAATATAAYCCCTGGAGTAAACATTTCAATTATTATTAACAAACTATGAAGTCATCTCAAGTTACACACTTATACACCTTGACTATCCTATCTTCAATTCCCCTGCACAGCCCTCTGTTCAACCCATGTTTTACCACACTTAGACTCATAATTAGCCAATGACATCTAAATACTAAATAAATTATTCKCTTATATMTTTCTAATGCAAYTGACCTYGTATTTTTATGATTTTTCTGTGATTTATTATGTACTTTACAACACAACAGCTCAAAGCTGTCAAAATTCAGCTTTACAGCACAGTACATGTTGCAGTGTTTGCCCATCTTAACTTCAATTTCACATTTTTATGTCCAAATATGAAATGTAGTTCATCTTCTTACCTTTCCATGGACACTGATTTCATATTCATACGATTTTTCTTCTATTTTCTATGAATTTTCAAAATCAAAGTTGTAACCAAACTCTTTTATGACCAATTCACCCATATTATCCATTATAATGTCCAATTCTTTTGTATTTCTACACTATCTTCAGTTTTCATCTCACACATTATATATTCTTGACAAAATTTCAAAAATTTAATCAATAATTAGCATATAATCATGATTTTTCCCCATTGATCATCAATAACATCACTAACAATGCTTAAGCTAGTGGCTTTCTTACTAATACATGCAATTATTCCAAGTTTCTTTCATGATTAGGCTATAATCATCATCAAACAACCTTAGTCTAGCATCATCTTTATATAATACCTTACATGCAAACCCTAACCTTCTTGATTATCTCTAATTAAATGGGATAAACTTGAAATTAGAGACATACCTTTGATGATTATCACCTATTCCTCAAGAATCTAACACTTACCTTCAAATCACCAAGAATTGGAAGGTTTAAGCTTCAAGTGTGTGAATGTTGTTTCAACATCGACCTTCTAAGGGTAGTGTTTTAAACAGTAATTATTAACCTGAGTACTGCTGAACCAACGACCCTTTACTAATTTGTTGTATGTTCTATTTTATTGTGAAGTATGTTATGTTATATTTCTATGATCACCCCATCTATTTTGTTGTAACATATGGTTTGCTCATATTATTAGGTATTGTAATCACTCTTGCATATGTTTGTGTCAAAATAAGCCACAATGTTTCCAATGAAGTAGCAAGCAGGTTTGACAATATGGTCGTCCTTGTGGCCATAGAGGTTTGTTGCGATGACTCCAAGCAATCTGTCGTCACTTGAGGGATTAGGGGGATTAGTCGGTACGCATAAAGTAGCCTATTGAAAATTGAGAAGTTGTGATTTGATTGCAGTAGTGGACCTATAAATTTTTTTCAAATGATGGCACCATTTGACTATAAGAAATAAATGCATAGATATCTTTTACAAAATTATCATTTGTCTATTGGTCAGTTCTTTGTTTTTCATATGTGAGTTCCGTTGTTCGGGTTTTTTTACAACAAATTTCAAAAACATAATAAATCAAAAGCTAAAAAACTAAGGAAAATAATACAAACAAGATTTGAACCCGGGTCTAATAGTGAGAGAAAAGTCATGCAAACCAACTCTAACAAGAAAAACTTATATCATTATTATAGTTTCAAAATATATACGATTGTATAGAAAAAAACAATACGATGACACATTTCACTACCCTATAATTTTCAATAATTTCCATCTTTTTTAACAGACGTTAACTTTTTTGTTAAATATTTTTTATTTTTTTTATTAGAAACATATTATACAAGTATAATATACCTATATAAACACATAAAAAACTACACCTCCACCTCTCCATTATCATTGAACGATCATTTAGGGGCCTTATCAGGTGATCCGGACTGCTTCTCTCTCGACGATGAAGCTTATAACTCACTGTCTCACTGGCCGACATTGACCCCTGTGTTGAGCTTCTTGTGAATCAATGTCACCACTTCTCTCTTCATTTACTGATGACGGATTAGCCGACATTTTTTACAAAATTTATGAACAAAAGCTCTTGTTTTCATATTTGTCGCTCCTTGCTTTAATTTTGAATTCACTTTTTAGAAGTTTCTTAAATTTTTTCGTTTCGAATCATATTCCTATGAAAGAAATAGTGAACTCAACGGCGACACACACATCCATCTCAATGACATGTTGGATCCACGTCCACCATTAAATAAAAATAAGAAGAAATTACGTTTTTTGTCCTTGTAGTTTAAATTTTTTGGTTTTCCTCCCTAAGTCATTGTTATTTTCGTCCTCATAATTTACAATTTATTGTTGTTTCGATTCTTCTGGTTTAAATTTTTTTACTGTTTTGGTCTCTTGTACTTATATATGAATTAGTCCAGTAACAAAAATATCAATCAATTGCAAACCATATGGATTAAAATCATAATTTCTAAACCATATTCTAGATCAATGCGAGTGTAGTCGGAGTGGTGCTATCAGAGTGGCATCTCTCTCGGTCAGATCTCTCTCAATCTCTCTCTCTCTCTCTCTCTCTCTCATCAATCACCGGTGAGGGGAGGTGGCTGGGAAACACGAGAATGAGAAGGGGCTGCCTCAGTCGATGGTCGTTGTCGGAGAGAGTTTGATAGGGGAAGGAAAGGGGAGGGCACAATTGAGAGATAAACAATGAGTCGTTGAATTTTCTTTCATCTGTTAATCTTTTAAAAGATTTGTAATAATATAATAATCTACATAATATATTATATGATTTTTAATTTTAATAAAAAAATATTTATCTATACTATATTATAAAGCATTTGACAAAAACTCTTAAAAACAATTTTTTATACATAAACTACTGTTTATTGATGCATATTACTTAAAATTCAAGATTACAAATAGAACGTGCGTGCGTACATCTTATTAAAGCTCCATGTTTAAATCGTTTAACTAACTGCAAATAAACATAATCAAATACATGATATATAAAAAATCTAAAATATAATTAAGATAATCATTGAGTTCTAACATAATATTTAATTATTATCTTAAAAGAATTATTATATTAAACCAAAAATAAATTAGTTTGTTATTAAACTTTAATTAAATTATAAAAAAATTAAATAAATTACAGAAAAACAAGAACTTTTAAATAGTTAATTTGATACTAATTTCGGTTTTTTTTTCAAAATTTTATAATATCTTCAAATTTATATTCCATTTAAAAATAAAAATATTTTTTTTCAAAACCATATAAAATCGCATTATAACATTAATAAACCCAAAATATAAAACGAAACGTTAAAATTAAGATGTTGCATCGTACGAATATCCTTTTTAGTTTAATTTGATTGGATTTAACTGAAAAAATTAACGGACATTAATTTATTTTTAAATTTAAAAATGATATTCTTATAATCGTCTTGGGATCTCCTCAAGGTGGCCACGTTTAATTATTGAGAAAACCGAAAAGATTTCTTTTTACAGAACACACCTTCAACTTGGAGTAATTTCACTTTACGTCCCTCATTTTAATTATTATTCCACTTAGATCCTCACACCAGCCTTCTTATAACAATCATCATGTGTTATTATAACAATTTATCATTTTTATGTGTTTATATCATAAACTTCCAACCAAACATGGAGTAAGGATTGAGATTTAAACTAATCTGACCTCTACTTGAAGAGTAGAACGATATTTTTCATGAATATCATGACGTCCACTTTGTTTTGCAGCTACTGAAACGTGACCAAACCGGATTTTTCAACGTCACCAATTAATACATGTCTGTTACTTTACTGCATTAACGAGCCGTTTAACAAACACTTATCCAGTAAGCGCTTACCGGTAAAATTTAACATTATTATATACTTATCGGGTAAGATTTAGTCCACCAAAACAATATAGGATACAACAATTTACCCGATAAGCACTTACTGTGGTAAGAGTCGTCGTTCTCACTTACCAGGTAAAACTCTTGATCCTTGTCTTGCTTTTACCGGGTAAGATTCTTGGTTCTTACTATATTCATCCGGTGAGGTAATGTTACTTGGTAAGCGCGTACCCAGGTAAACGTTTGGTAAACGGCCCCTAACTTTACTTTCATTTCCTTTTCTTTTTATATGCTCCATTGTTGAGGCTCAAACCGGATCTCAAACTTGTACTGAAAACAATCAAAACCACAAGCAGCAAAATTGACAACTTGTCAAAACTATAAGGTAGTGAAAATGAACAATATCCATCCATAAAGAATTCTATGGTTGTCTTGCCGATCATCAACAGTCACAAATTGAAAACCAGACCAAAAAGTGAACTCCATTGAAAGAAGTGATGGAGTTGATTGCAGTGTGTTGTGTTGTTGGAGTAACATCAATAGTTGTGTCATGTGTTTGGAGGGTTTTAAACTGGTTGTGGTTCGAACCAAAGAAGGCGGAGAAGGGTCTAAGAGACCAAGGGCTCGATGGCAGTTGGTACCGGTTCATGTTCGGAGACTTGAAAGAGATGGCTCAGATGACAATCGAAGCCAAATCGAAACCCATGAGTTTATCTCACGATATCGCTCCCCGTGTCTTCCCCTTCTTCCATAAGGCTGTGAACACTCATGGTACGTATCTGTTTTTCTTAGCTTCTCAAATATTTATATAGTTAACCACAAGGGTGGTGTCTGATTGTTTTAAGCATAGCTTCAATGGTCAAAAGTAACAGAAGGTCCTAGGTTCAAATCCAAGGGGAATAAAACTTTTCTTGTGGTCATGGAGATTCAAATACGGTGACTCCGAGCTATCTGCAAAGCAGATGGTTTGAGATTAGTCGGTTCGTATAGCGGGTTAGATATCCAAGTTAATCAAAAAAATATTTATATAGTTTTTGTTTTTATAAAATTTAAAATCTCATTAATTAGTATTTTATTAGAATTGTATATGTATGATCGCAGGTTATTTTAATATTTGAAAGTATATAAATGATCCTAGTCCTTGATATGGTTAGATCGGATTTGATTGGTCAAAATTTATGTCTATGCGAAAAATAAAATGATAGTTTCGTAGCTTTTACAAATAGACGGCAAACGAGTTTACATATGAACTATATGTTAATATATATATATGAATCCGTGGGTTTCATCCGACTCCTTTGTGAAAAATGGATAAATTGTTAGATTGCAGATGTGGCCCTATTGTTCCGATGGAGAGATGAATATATGAACCCATATAATTCACATATGAACTAATTAACTGATTCACATACATATGACCCCGTGGGTTCATATGTGAATCGATTAAATAGTTTATATATGAACTAATTAATGAGTTTACATATGAACATATAGGTCATACATAAATCACATGAGTTCACCTATAAATTTGTTTACCATCAATTTGTGAAAATAAAGAAATTATTCTTCTATCTTCGCATACTCATGCAAGGAATAATTGGTACTTTATAGTTAAAGTTGTAAATGTTGACTAAATGAAGGGCTGTGATCAGTTCTTTACTTCTCAAATAAACCTTTTCATATATATATATATATGTGTGTGTGTGTGTGTGTGTGTGTGCGCGCGCGTGCACGCATGAATAACAATTACTTTTTAAACATTTGAATGAGTTGACTTTTTAATCTAAACTTTATTTTCCATCAATTACCTTCATTTACCTTTTATCTTCATATTTATCTTCATATATATTTTCATTTTTAGTCACTTTCACGAACTTCTACATACATTTAATAGCTTTCAAATGCATGAATTTGTTAAATTTTTGGCGAGTAAATAAAGGTTGTTGAATATATGTGACGGTTTTGTTCTCACCTCCTCATCATAATTCTTACTCTAACCGGAAACCAACCCTATATATAGACAGAAAGAAATAACATAGTGCTGATTGAAAAGAACAAAATAATATCCGTTTGGCGTTTAGGATGATTGAATATTCTTTCAAGAAAAATATTGGAATAAACTACATTTTTTTGTCCTTTATGTTTGTTGAGAACTGTTATTATTGTTGTTTTCGTTATTTTCTTATCTATATATATACTATATTATAAACCATTTGACAAAACTCTTAAAAACCATTTTTTATACATGAAGTACTGTTTATTGTTGCATATTACTTAAAATTTAAGATTACAAGTAATTTTGCGTAAGTACAACTTATTAAAGCTCCATTTTCAAATTCGTGTAACTAACTGTTGATAAACATAATCAAATACAGGATAAACATTCATTTTAAATATAGAAAATCTAAAATATAATTAAGATAATTATTGAGTTCTAACAGAATGTTTAATTATTATTTTTATAAAAAAATTATACTATTAAACCAAAAATGAATTACTTTATTATTAAATCTAAATTAAATTATAATAAAAAATTAAATTAGAAGAGTTACACCAAAAAGAAGAGAACTATTAAATAGTTAATTTGATACTATTATCTATTTATTTTTTTACAAATTTTTATGTTATCTTCAAATTGATATTTTAGTTCAAAAATAAAAAGATTACCGTTTTTTCAAAACCACATAAAATCGTATTATATCGATAGAGATAAAGAATAAAAACTAAACATCAAAATCGAGATTTATCTCGTTGCATTGTGCGAGTACCCTTCTAGTTTTCTTAAATATGTATCATTATTGTATGAACCTACCTCTACAAGTATATATATGTAGACATATGTTGTCTTATTACACACCTTGAAAAACGTCATGGCTTCGCCGTAACTCGTGAGGCTTGAGTCTTGACCTTGCTGGCACATCATGCCTCACGTCGTTTAGAACCTTGGTCACAATCCGTAGTTGTCCATCTCCCTAGTTGAACGTATTTTTCTTATAAAACGATTCAAAACATATAGGTAAGAATTGCTTTACGTGGATGGGACCGAAACCTTTGGTACACATATCGGATCCATCAATGATACGAGATATCTTTGCGGATTATCATCATTTTCAAAAGGCGAGGGGAGGAAATCCGTTGTTAAAGCTGCTAGCGAGAGGATTAGTTGACGCTGAAGCCGATCAATGGGTTAAACATAGAAAAATCATCAATCCCGCCTTTCATGTCGAGAAGCTCAAGGTTTCTTGCTCTTGTTTTCTCTTTAACGTTACAATTATATAACAATATGCCTTTTGCAACGTCGTTTGGATGTTTTCGTGTTGTTTTTGTCAGCATATGGTGCCTGCGTTTTACGTGAGTTGCAGTGAGATGATTCACAAATGGGAAGAGATGCTATCAAAGAAAAGCTCGTGTGAAGTGGACGTGTGGCCTCATCTTCAAACGCTTTCAAGTGACGTAATTTCACGAACGGCTTTTGGTAGCAGCTTTGAGGAAGGAAGAAAGATATTTGAACTTCAAACCGAACAAACGGAGTTGGTTATGAAAGCTGCACAATCGTTCTACATTCCGGGATTAAGGTAAATTTGTTTCTAAACGATATTTTTAAACTTGGTTCTTCATTTAACAAAACAAACAAACGAAATTACGAAGCGTATAACACTTCTACTTACGGTTATTTGATCGATAGTTGGAGTTTATTGGTATAAAAAGGCGTTTTATGCTAATCATATACGATTCAGTAGATTTTTGCCAACGAAAAACAACAGGAGGATGAAAGAGGTCGATATAGAAGTGAAGGGTTTGATAAGGAAAATTATCAATAAACGAGTTGTTGCAATGAAGACCGGGGAAGCTAGTAACGATGACCTTTTGGGAATTCTTTTGGATTCCAATTACAAAGAAATGAAACAACACGAGAATAACGGTTCTGGATTAAGCATCGAGGAAATCATCGAAGAATGCAAGCTTTTCTACTTTGCAGGACAAGAGACCACCGGAAACATGCTTGTTTGGACGATGATTTTACTGGGTCAACACACGAATTGGCAGACACGTGCCAGAGAGGAAGTTCTACATGTCTTCGGAGAGAAAAGACCAGATGTTGATGGATTGAGTCGCCTGAAAACCGTAAGCTTTTTTCGTACTTTAACATTACTAGAATTATCGAGAGCAAAATCCTACATTAATTTCGTTACTTATCCTTACAACAGAATTGGGTTTATACTATAGGACGTCTAAAGTGTTTAAGCATTAATAAAGTGTCATGTAAAAAGATGAGTTATAAAAGACAGTTCTCAAAAATGTTACTATAAACTTATTGTAACACTTTTAGATAGAACACTTTATTTTTTGATCACAGAAAATAAAGTACCATAAGACACTCTATTAGGATGCTTAAACACTTTAGACGTCCTATAAACCCGATTTACGTTGTATTGTGTATTCTCGATTCATTACATATCTTTAATGTTGATTTGACATTGTGTATCGTCGTTGATAACTATTAATCTCGTATCTTTGTTATTCCGTTTTACAGATTAACATGATTTTCAACGAGGTTCTTAGATTATATCCTCCGGCAATTGCACTAAGACGAATGATACATAAGGATACCAAATTAGGGAACTTAAGATTACGAGCGCAAACCATGATCCAACTAAACATGTTGTTTTTGCACCATGACCATGATATATGGGGTGACGATGCGAGCGTGTTTAACCCTGAGAGATTTTCCGAAGGCGTGTCAAAGGCGACCAAGGGACAAACAATGTATTTCCCGTTTGGAGGGGGACCACGAATATGCATCGGACAGAATTTTGCAATGCTAGAAGCGAAAATGGCACTTGTCATGATTCTACAGTGCTTTTCTTTCGAGCTCTCTCCATCGTACTCGCATGCTCCGTACACCGTGATTACTCTAAAACCTCAGTATGGGGCTCACTTGATTCTACACAAACTTTAGGTACATCATTATATGTTCTGTTTTATTGTGAATTTGAAGTACGTTATGTTATGCATAATGTTATCGATATATTAGTTTTGCTTAACCATTTGATAACGATAACGAAAGACATAAGAACATAAACACATACAAGAAATGGATTCAACATGGTATTGTAATAGAGTTTAGTTAAACTGACCCGAAGCACTTGCGTCGGTTGCAACGAAATTGCTTGATGCGTGTAGATCGAAGTCTTCTAAACCTTTATACAGTTTGCTTCAAAATGTGGCGAGACCAAATACAAATTCATATAGGCAACATGCATTTGATCTCCTTTATTTAAAGGTCATGGAAGATAGAGACTACATTTTTACACATGAAACTTTACAGTAAAACATTGTGAAGTTAAAAAAAATTCGAGCCTTCACAACAAAAAACGTTGTTAAGGTTATCTTCATAGCAGAAACATTGTGAAAGTTACCTTCACAGTGTTCTGCTGTGAAGTTTCAAGTGTAAAAGAAGTGGTCTCATGGGTCTAATGAAAACACCTTGATCTCACATGATTCCTAGTCTATACATATATGTATATATCTACATATGTATATATAGGGTTAGGTTCAAATGAGACCAATCTGTTTTCGTGAGACCCGTGAGACTACAAAATAACACTTAAAACTTCACAGCAAAATATTGTGAAATTAAAAAAAAACTACAAACCTTCACATCAGAACACCTACATTGCTATCACTACTAGAATACTGGGTATTTTCGGCAGACAATTTCCGCCCGAATATTGCCGGCGGACAATAAAAAAGTCAACTTCTATTGACTTCCGTCGTAAAATCGCTGGAAAAGTTATTCTGGTTATATTTCCGGCGGATTTCTTAATTAATTATTTTAGACTTGTATTTAAATCTAATTACAATGACTTACCGCCGGATTTCCGGCGGATATATTTGCCAGTAAATTAATTCATTTTTTTTCTTTAAAAAAACTTAAATATTTTCTTAAATTTAATCACGAATTTTTAAATAAACCGGTGGAAATTTTTAAATTTTTAAATAAACCGGTCGAAATTTTTAAATTTTTAAATAAATTCTAAGCCTTCACAACAAAAAACATTGTTAATGTTATCTTCATAGCAAAAACACTGTGAAAGTTACCTTCACAGTGATCTGCTGTGAACTTTCAAGTGTAAAAAAAGTGGTCTCATGAAAACAACTTGATCTCACATGATTCCTAGTCTATATATATATATATATATATATATATATAGAGAGAGAGAGAGAGAGAGAGAGAGAGAAGCGTTAAAATAAAAACTTACCCCATTTGTGTAAACCGTGTAAACCAATCTCATCCATCCATTTTCTTGATCAATGGCTAAGATTAGTTTACATTATTTTAGGAAATTAAAAAATAAAAAATATTAAAAAATTATTTTATTTCAATACTAAGGGCAAAATTGGTAAACAAAAATAAGTCATTTTATAATGAAACTGTTGGTCCCAAAGGATCTACAAGAATACTAAACAGTTTGTAGAAGGGGGGGG